GCAATAGAACTCTTTGTAGTGGATATTTCTGAACAATTGTATTGTCACATTTTTTTGTGTAGGACAACAAACACTTGTTCTAAAATTCTTCTATAGCTTTGCTGATGACATATTTATCTCCATTAGGTAAGTCTTTGTAAGATACCATAAGGATGTTGTTGTTGTTGTGAGCCGCCATGATGATTGTGGGGTCCCATCGTGGTCGCCAGAACATGTGTCGACACAAAAATTTATCACGTGCCGAGGCACACGAGCAAGCCGGAAGGGTCTGCTCTATGGAGCTGGAGATCCGCCTGACTTCAACGCAGGGATTAACGATCCTGCGCACTCCTCCCGAGACGTGCTAGCCAATTTGACCCTGCAATTGACAAGGAGAGAAAGCTAATCAGTAATTTAAGGTGGAACAGTCGGTGTTGCCAAACAGTCCTGAATGTGCGGCTCTGAGAGCCGATGTGGAAGGAGATCGACTAAATAGCTGATTCCAGCATACTCATAAGAATAAATCAGTTAAAGCTCATGGAGTTATAGAAGAAAAATCGGTTATCATTCAGGATGAATATCATTATTTAGACAAATATTAGTCAATGACAGTAGGATGTCAACACTAATCAGTTTATGCTAAGCCAATGACTGCAAGTAACCGAATCCCTTTTTTATATGAAAATTTAGCCCATCATCATTTAACTATTTAATACAGATAAATCAAATGAACATATTAGATCTCATCTATCGCTATGACCAGTGGGGCATGGGCAGAATCATGCAGGCCGTAGAAACAGCAATAAATTCGATGACCCTAACTTATTACTAATATCAGTGGAACATGAGGCAGAATCATGCAGGTCGTAATACAATAATAAGATCATGGGGCTAACATATCTTTCAACCTATCCTTACTTCAACAGTCTGGTGACGTGAACTGCAAATGTGAAAACACTCGATATCGGCTAAAACAGTTGATTCAGGCATAGCGCACAATTAAGGTCATGCCCTATCAGGAACAGATCTACCAAATAACGATCCCCACTCCATGGTGCTAACAGTGGGGTGTGAGGCAGAATCACACAGGCCATGACAACGGGCCATGGAACGGTTTTCGTTAGCCGATAGATCTATTCAAGACCAGACATACCTTAACCGCACACTATGCACGATCAAGATTGACATAAAACAGTCGATAAAACATAACTCATCGTTTAGGGTGTGGATTAGATCAGATTAGATTAATAAACAATGGGTTAAACAGGATATAAGGCCAATCTAGATCAATCCCGATCGGGCGAAGTGATATTGCTGTAATTAAATAAATAATGAAAGCAATAAGCAATATCGGTAACTTAATGAATCTATCCGAAGGACGCCACCCTTAGATAGAGCCAATAACTTGACCTTAATCTAGTTCGAGCAGTGGAGGTCGACCGGATCGATGCAGCCGTACTTGAACTAGACAAGAATCGATAACTACCTTATACTAGAGTCGTAGTGGAGGTCGACCAGATCGATGCAGCCGTATGAACAGAAGTATAAGCCATGATGGTACTTACAGACAAGCCGGAGGTCGGCCAGACCGATGCAGCCCTGCTTGCTGAAGAACTCGTTGAGATCTACTCTACTCCTACTCCTAAGGGGTGGCCGGAGACAAAAAAGTAGGTAACTTGTATTTGATTGATTGTGTGTCTTTTACAATAGCCGGGGTCCAATATTTATACCCGGAGCCTAAATATGAATCCTATTCGAGTACGACTCATTACAATCTTTGGTATAAAAGAGAACATTCCTAATCTTAAGATAAGTTAGACCCTAAACTTTCCCTTTTTGTAGAGTCCAATATGCATCTCCCGACGCCAACCATAGGCCATTATCGTTACTTGCTGACATCATTCAAAGAGAGCCGATTCTAGTGTCTCCTCTGAATCAGCTGATATCAATCTTCATGCAATCGATTCCTTGTTTGGCACGATCTTAGAAGCCTTCGAATTCCCGCGTTCTTCTCCCAAATTTTGGTGTAAATAGATCCATGGTAGCAAACAAAATACCCTTCCTTATGATGTTGCATCCACTAACATCAGGTACTGTTGTATCACTTGGTCCTCCATTAGCTATTTCCATGTGCCCATGGCTAAGGTCCTCGAAATCAGGAACTAGTGGATCCCTCCCAGGAAACACCCTCCTCAATATTACTATTTCCCTATCATCGAGACGATGAACAGGACGATCATCGTTATAGTCTTCAGCTAATTCCTCTACAAAGGTTTCATCATCTCCAGCTACCTCCATATCATACCGGTTCATAGCCCTGGCATCTCCAAAGTCATCTTCGCCACTAAGATCAGCTTCGTCACTAAGATCATCATCAATTAAGTCATCTTTGCTAGCGTCGTCCAAAGCTTCTTCTCCCTCACCAACTCCATAAGACTCATCATCATCATCATCACTACCATAATTGTCATCACCATCGGCTCCCGCATTGTCGTGATCATCTCCGACGCCGTCACCACAACCATCATCTCCCTCGGCCAATCCTAACCCTTCAATACCGCCACAAGTTGGTTGTGTGAGAACTATTTCTTCTTCTAGTGACGGACCATTCTCTATGCGAGTGCCAAACGATGGGCATACTTCAATGTTCTCAATTCCTATGCCATGCTCCTTAGTTACCATCAAATTGAAAGATCGCACTTCGGAGACCAACACAGCTGTCTTGTAATCATTCCATTCAAACTCGCTTGTAATTTTGAGCAACCTCTTGATGCGTGGACCCTTACATGACCCAACATCAATGACCCCTTCAAACTGAACATGCACATCTCCTTCGGACCAACCTAACCTTACTTTCACTCGATCAACTAACTGGGTCAAAGAGGGTGACTCAGAAAAAATCAACACATCCTCAAACGTGTCCTCAAATTCAACACTATCATCTCTTGTCCTAACAACACATCCTTCATGATGCAACCTCACTAATTTATCCATCTACAGCCATCACACAACAAATGTTGTCACGTATCAAGCTAATATCATTCAATTAGAGCCGAAATAATAACAAATCGGACATAAGTAATATGCAAATCAATAAAACAATTAACTAAATTTACCACTAGGTATTAATTAACACACTGATGCCTACTACAATTATAGCTTAAACCAAATAATTAACAATAGTAATTTGTACAGCAATCCACATGAAACCATAATGCCAATTTATCAACTCTTAGGCAAACTAACCAATATTTAACAAGAACTACCTAAAAACCAGACCTCAAATGACCTATCAAATCAAACTAAGTCATATATTACACAAATACATCTACAAAAATACCATAGCAACTTAACATACCCCCACATTTCCACAATTTTAGAGACAATGCAAGTAAACCTATGCGGACAGATTAGAAGAAGGGTGTGAGACCCAGCCCATTGGGCCAAGTTGGGCTAGACCGATTTAGGGGTACTTTAGTACCGAGTACTGTAGCATCACGGAACACTGTTTGCCCGAGGTTTAGTGCCATACTAGGAACGGAGGGACGGCTAGACCAGCTTAAATAGCTAGGCCAAGGACGCATAATAACCTTCGGTTAACCGTTTTGCGCGAAGCGAGGACGAAAGCGCAAGAAGGTTGCTATGTAGGTGGGGCCCACCCCTTGATAGAGTGGGCCTGTGCCGTGTGCCGAGCCTGGGGTGTTACAGATGGTATTCAGAGCCAACTCTCGTGGTTTCATAGACGTATGGCTCGGGAGCTCGGACAAGCTGCGCATGAGCCAACTCTCGTGGTTTCATAGACGTACAGCTCGGGAGCTCGGACAGGCTGCGCATGACTCTAGAAGAGCATGGCACTTGGGCCGTGGAGCTGGAAATATGAACGTGGCCAAGAGAGTCGATCCTGAGCATTTATCCCATATGGGTAAGCTGGTTCGATAGTTCGACGAGGATGTCGAATCCTTTGAGGGTGGGTGGATGTGAGACCCAGCCCATTGGGCCAAGTTAGGCCGGACCGATTTTGGGTTACCGTAGCACCGAGTACTGTAGCATCACGGAACACTGTTCACCCGAGGTTTAGTACCATACTATAAACTGAGGGACGGTCAGACCAGCTTAAATAGCTAGGCCAAGAATACGTAATAACCTTCGGTTAACCATTTTGCGTGAAGCGAGGACGAAAGCGCAAGCGGGTTGCTATGTAGGTGAGGCCTGTGCCGGGCTTGGGGTGTTACAAGGGGAAGGAGCATTACCTTGGGGAAGTGTCGGCAGGCGAGATCTGGCCGCCTAGAGAAGCACTTGGGAGTTAGGGTTTGGTGGGGGCCGGATGGGAGAGAGAGACTATGGTTGAAAACGGGAACGGGAATTCCCGTACCGACCGACACCGAATACCGAAAATCCCGACCGAATATCATTTTCTCGGGAAAAAACGGAATCGGGAAGAAATCTGGGAAAATACGGCGAATCTGGTGTCGAAATCGGTTAGAGTGATTTCCTGACCGAATTAGCGGATCCCGTATTTGTTCGGGAAACTACCGCAGGAAATTCCTGTTTTCAAGGCCTCCAGGCAAATGGCCCAACTCACCCCCCCGGTCCACCCAAACCCCACGCCACGCTGCCACGTCCGTCAAATCGCCCAAAACCCTCGAAACCCCAGCAGCCACGCCCGCATTGCATAAGTCTTTCAACTCGCCCGCATGCCGCAAACCCTAAGCACCCAAATCCCCAATCTTCGCCTCTTCGGCTTCGACAGTCTCTCTCAACTCGCCCGCACGCCGCACGTCGCCGCCCACCGCAACTCGCCCGCGCCGCATTCCCTCCTCTCCGGCTCTCCCTCTCAGACTCTCAATCTCTCTCAACTCTCAAGCGCCTCTCCAGCTCTCCTCTCCTGGGCTCCTGGCGCCTGGTGGCCTGGCCTCCCTCGGTCCCTCCTGGTGCCTTGCCTGGCCGGTGGTCGCCGCCGTCCGACGAGGCGACAACAGATCCACAACTTGGGGGGCTAGGGAGGCAGGCCGGACGCCAAGATGAAGCCACCACCAAGTGAGCAAGCTTCTGGTTCTGCATCTGCCTCATCCGCCTCCAAGCGCCGCCTCTTCCTGGAACCACCTCCGCCGGTGAACAGCAGCACCCTCGCGCCTTTTCCAACAGGCAGGTAAAGATGTGTGAATTAGTGTATGTTTCATTTATTGGCAAAGATGTTAGATGTGTGAATCACTACATGGGATTGCTTGTTGTTAGGGATAAAACTAATGAGATGAATATTGTCCCCTTGTGTTTTATTGCTTGTGTGTTAGATGAAACTATCAAACTAATGAGATGCATGAGTAAAAGTAATTGAGTAAGGTCCGATTACTACTGTCATTTTGATTCCCAAATGAATGTTTTAGATTCATATTGCAATTGCAACCAACAGATGCATGAGTAAAAGTAATTGAGTAAGGTCCAATTACTTTGGTCATTTTGATTGATCTTGGTGTCTTAGATTCATATTGTTGTGTTCTATTCTTGTCTTGGCGGGATCTAAGAGGTCAAGTGAAAGCCACGGTAATTGTGGTAAAGATCTTGGTATATGTCCATTCAGATCATCTGCAAGTGCAACTCCACGCATCTAGTCCAAGTCAAGGTGGCGAGTCTTTGCTGCTTTGGTGGCGATGGTTCAGTTCAAGTGGTCTTTGGTGGCAGTGGTTGTGTGGTGCTTGGCCTAGAAGGTCTTTGGTGGCGAGTGGTGCTGCCATTGCAAGTGACATATGTCTTCTTTGGTGCGAGAGTGATCTAGGTGTCTTTGTTGCAAGTGACATAGGGGACTCTTGGTGCAAGTGATAGAGGTTTTGTTGCTGCTGGAACAAGTACTACAAGTGCAATCAGCGTTGACGGCGATGAGCCTGTGCAAGAGGGAGATGTACCTTGTGGAAAGAGGCATAAGAGGTGCACATCCAATGTATGGCAGTACTTTACCAAGAAGAGAGTGGTCGTTGAGGATAATGGCAAGACATATGTTCAGATGTGGGCTTATTGCGATTGGCCCAAATGCAATCACAAGGGCAGATGTGAGAGCAACTACGGAACAACTGGATTTTGGACCCATCTGAGGGTGGCACATAGTATAGTGAAGGGCCAGCAGCAGCTCAAAGTGGAAAAAGATGGGGGGAAAGACATTACTGCTGTGGTACCATACAGGTATGATGAAGAGGCTAGCTTGAGAAAGTTTTACTTGGCAATAGTCATGCATGAGTACCCATTTAATATATCTGAGCATGAGTATTTTGTTGATTTCATCAAATCCCTGCGTCCTACCTTTCCAATCAGATCTCGTGTTACCATTAGAAAAGAAATTATGAACATGTTCTTAGCTGAAAAGGAGAGGTTGTATAGCATGTTCAAATCTGTCTCTTGTCGGTTTAGTGCCACCATGGACATGTGGACTTCAAATCAGAACAAGTCATACATGTGTGTAACTGTACATTGGATAGATGACAATTGGCATATCCAGAAAAGGATTGTGAACTTTGTGCATGTACAGGGCTGTCATACTGGTACAAAGCTCTCTGAGACATTTACTGAACTTATGGTTAAGTGGTATATTGACAAGAGAATGTTTGCTCTGACCTTGGACAATGCATCAGCAAATGAAGTAGCAGTCAAAGACATCATCTCTGATCTAAGGGCCAATGCTAGTTCAACGGCTTTGATATGTGATGGACTATTCTTCCATGTGAGGTGTGCTTGTCACATACTGAACCTTGTTGCTAGGGATGGTTTAAGTGTAATCACACCCACAATTGAGAATATTAGACAACTAGTTCTTGCTGTCAAGGGATCCCCATTGCAATGGGAGGAGCTCATGAAGCGTGCAACTGAGTGTGGGCTGGATACAAACAAGGGTCTTTCACTTGATGTGTCAACCAGATGGAATTCCACGTATTTGATGCTTCGAGATGCTTTGTACTACAAGAATGCATTCATGAGGCTTAAATCATCAGATCGCCGTAGGTATGAAAAATCACTCCTTCTCCTGGTGAATGGGCCATGGCATTTAAATTGTTCCAATGCTTGAAGAAATTCTTTGATCTCACTGAACTGTTGTCTGGTACTTTATATCCAACTGCAAATCTGTTCTATAGAGGGTTTTGTGAGATAAAGATTTTACTAGATGAATGGTCTGTTTGTCAAGATATCACTATTAGTGCAATGGCTACTTCTATGAGTAGGAAGTTTGAAAAATATTGGAAGAAATCATCCACTACACTTGCTGTTGCCTGCTTTCTAGATCCTAGATATAAGAAAAGGCTTATCGAGTTCTACATGAGAAAATTCCATGGCATCTCATCTCAAGTTCATGTTGATGAACTTGTTGATGTCATGAAGAAATTGTACCAGTTCTATGCTGTTGCTGCTCCTTCATCTTCAAGGCCTAAAAGTGGATCAAATGGTGCTAAGGATACAGATGACATGTTAGTGGACAGTGGAGATGATGAACTAGAGAACTTCTTGTATGAGTCTAGTGGGCATGGTGCTGATGATATGAATGAGTTGGACAAGTACATGGCAGATCCGCCTCTGAGGCTCAGTGGTCAATTTGATATCTTGGCATGGTGGAAGAACCAGACCGATGAGTATCCTATTCTTTCAAAAATAGCTCGTGATTTGCTAGCTGTACAAGTCTCAACTGTGGCTTCTGAGTCTGCTTTTAGCGCTGGTGGACGTGTTGTTGATCCTTTCCGTAGCCGCCTTGACCCTGAAATGGTTGAAGCTTTGATATGCATGAAAGATTGGGTTGCTGCAGAAAGAAGAGGTTAGAAAAGCATCTTAGTTTTAATTGTACAATATTTTATCATAATCATATTTGCTGATATATGAGTCTTGGCTTACTTTGAATTTTATATAAGAAGATTGGTTCTATTGTTGATGATCTTGAAGTTATTGAGGCCCTTGTTTCAAAGCTGAACATTGAGGTATTGTCAATTAAGTTATCTAGTCATTTGGCTACATTGTTTGTTATATATATGTTGCTGTTGTATGTGGCTGGGGCTGTGTAGTGTACTAGACTACTAGTGTTTACTCTAGAGTTCTAATCTAGGGGAAAGGATAATAATTCTAGTATTTATACATCACTTGATAGACTATTAGCAACTAAACCGAAGGTTAGCTTCAAGCAACTGTGAGTTGGTAACTGGGCAGAAAAGTTCAAAGTAAGAAACAAACTGTTAGGAGTTTTTGGGAAATCTAAATAAGCGCAACTTAGAAATCAAGTAAGTATGAAAACAAAAAAAAACTTACCTAGAAGTGAATTAACACCCTTAAAATTAAAGCAACTTAAAAATAAAGATTCTATTAAACTTGAGAACTTTATGTGTCATGCATGTGCTACATATGCTTCCTACATATATCTTGATTCAGAATAACAGAGGGACAGAGCTTCACCCTTGTCTATGATTTTGCATATTAGTTGATAACTGGGCTGTGGCTAGATCAGTTCTTTCCAACACTGATGCCTCCTATTTTTTTTAGGACGACGATGTCGCGGACAGCGATGACGAAGGAGATGGACCACATGGAGATGATCTGGGTTTCTTTGACATGTAGTGTTGTCTGCTTATGATATGTTCATCTATTGTGTGTTTGGCTGTTGGCACTTGGCAGCTGGGCATGTTTTATTTTTAATTTGGACTTGTACTTGTGAGTTGAGTGTTGGACCAGTAGGTTGTCTCGTTGTCTCTTGTCTGTGAGTGAGCCGAGTGTTGGACCATTGCCTGTGTGTGGTTGCCTTGCCTGCCTGTGAACTGTGATGTACGGCTGTGACTTGTGTGCTATGTGATTGTTGCCTCATTGCCTGTGAACTGTGATGTATTGTGTGTGGTTGCTTCATTCTGTGTTGCTTTCATCCGTATATGCTTCAATGCATGGTTGCAATTATTACGTTGAGCTAACTGTTTTAAGTGGTTACATGTATAAAGATGTTTCCGTTTTTGTGTTATCGATTCCCGATCGTAATCGACACGTTCCCGATCGAAGTATTTCGTTCCCGATATCCTGTAATATCGAATTCGTTTTTCCGTCCGGCTTTCCCGTTCCCGCCACCGTTCCCGGTCATATAATGCAGGAGCGGGAATGGTTACGGTGTTTTCCCGACCGTTCCCGACCGTTTTCAACCCTAAGAGAGACAGCAGGGAGCCACGGCCAACAGAGAAGAAGAACGAAGGGATGGAGGAAGAAGGGGGCCACGGCGCGGCCTTATGTGCCTAGACCTCGGCCTTGAATCGGGCCGCGCCGAGGTATGGGGTTCGGCGTTAACTAAGCCCACGCCGAGCTCTGCGGGCCCAGGGCCACGGTAAAAAATACGACCAGAGTCAGCGCTGACGTGGCGGTACCTCGGCGTCAACTGACACTGCGCCGAGGCAGAGACCACGACGTTGTGTCCTAACACGCCGAGTGTTTGGCCTATTTCCAGAAAATATTTCGCCAGAGGGTTATTTGTAAAAAATATTTTTAAAAAGGACAAAAATACAAAAAAATTCACAAGAAAACCAAACCAGAAGGCGCAGAGTGCGTGCATCTCACCACAGTCCACAACCAACATCAATCATGACGGCTGCCTCGCCGAGCAGTTGCGCCGTCTCCTCCTCCCTGGCCGTCGTGCTGCTGGCGCTACTACTCGCGGCGTCGGCGTCAGCGGCTGCGGCGGAGAAGGAGACGCACCTGCGGTTCTACTGGCACGACGTGATGAGCGGGCCGAGCCCGACGGTGGCGAGGGTGGCGGAGGCCGCGACGACCAACGCCTCCGCCACGATCGAGCTTCGGCGCGGTCTACGTCATGGACGACCCGCTCACCGAGGGGCCCGACCTGCAGGCGGCGTCGTCGACGGTCGTCGGGCGCGCGCAGGGCATGTACGTCTGCGCCGGGAAGGACAGCCTGTCGCTGCTCATGGCCATGACCTTCGTGTTCCTGGACGGCAGCGCCTACAACGGCAGCAGCGTCGCCGTCGTCGGGCCCAACCAGGCGGCCGTGGCCGTCAGGGAGATGGCCGTGGTCGGCAGGACCGGCGCGTTACGCTTCGCGCGCGGCTACTGCCAGGCCCGGACCTACTCGTTCGACGCCAAGACCGGCGATGCAACCGTCGAGTACAACGCCTACCTCCGGCACAACTAGTGCACACGGTTAATTAATTTACACAGTTTCAGTGATAGTCTAGCAACCTTGAGCATATATTGGAATTTAGAAATAACTGAAACAACCTTGAGCAGTATACATGTTATCTTCTATGTTGTATTTTTGTTTATTCACACTACATCAAATAGTATCCCTTTGATGTATTTTAAATTTTCCTCTATGACGTGTCTTTTATGTTTGTTATTTTTTGTTTCCTTTATGCTTTGTTCTATCTTTTATTGATGCTGTATTTATGTTATTCATTTATCTATTTATGTATATTTCATAGCTTTTGTTATCCATTTTTTTTCATAGATATTGTAATGCCATTCATATGAACCTAGATTTATTTATCCTAAATCTCAAATATTGTTCTCTCGAATTTAGAACATTTCCCATACGAAGACGAGACATTCTATCTTGAACCTAAAACATCGCCTTTTGTGGTTTTTCTGTCTTCATGAAGAAAATATTATTTAATTAATTTTTTAAATAATATTCATATAGAGTCTTGATTTGAAAGATTTATTTGTAAGAATAACAATGGTATAATCGAATTTAATTTGAATGTGCAGTTTGACAACTACATCATTTTTATATTTTCAAAATGATTCATGGGGGCACGGACTAGCTAGGTTGGCATAGGCTTGACTCCTAGCTGGCCATGTTAGGCTCATGTCGGGCCGAAAGGTGCGGACAGTGACGGTTTGTTGACGGTAGATGTCGTCAGGACAGTGGCGTCCATGGGTGATACTGATTCGGCTTTCAGATGGGCTGGGCTGGGCTGGGCTGTGGGCTCCAATATTATATCTAGGATGAGGACTTCGGGCCGACTGCGATGCCATGATGAACGCACTCCGACGTTCGCTGCCGTGACTTCTCTATTCTAGCGAGAGACGTCGCAAGAGAACAACATGGTGATGGTGCCAGTCGAAACACCAATGGATCTCTCCTCTCGCGCGCGGCTTTCCCCGCGGCACACGGCGGACGGCGCATCAACGGCAGGAGGGAGCAGCTTTCGCTCGCTGGCCGGCTCGCTTTGGTGCAAAGCTGCGGGCAGGAGATGCAGACAAAAAAGACGGCGATGAGCTCGAGCAGGACAAGGTCCCTACCCCCTCTACTCCCCTAGTCCCGGCTCGAGCTCTGCGCCTCTGACTGCCTGACTGCGCTACCCTGCATGCCATAGCTGCGTGCACATAAACTGCGTGTGTGTGCAGGCGACGACGTGTCCTCGTGCCAAGCCATTGAATTGACGGAAGAGGGAAAGGCGCTCGGCACTCGGCTGAGGAAAATCAGGAAAAGACAGTACAAAAGGAATTCTACGCACGCCAAAAGGAAAAATAAACGTGATTCTCCCGGTCCGACGACTAGGCGCGGACGGAAGCGAGGATGTAAATGGATATCAGGATATTTGAATTGATCGAATCCTGTAATATCCATTAAAATTTATAATATGAATACTAAATAGATGTGTTTGAATCTGTTTTCTCTTATTATTCTCAATTTCATTTCGGATCTATATTTGAAGATATCCTACAAGTATTATCCATGAAGAATATAGTACTAGGTGAAACTTTCTAAAAATTATTCCTATAATTGATGACTAATAATATTGATTTTGCAATCTAATAATATGTACCATTAAATCTATTTAAGAGTAAAGACAAACAATATTATGCCACTTTGAGTTACGATAATTACTATGTTAATTTATGAGATTACAATAACTCCTTACTAAGTGGTTTACTCTGACGTTACGGTAAATATCCCCATGTATTATAGCAACCCAACTATCGTAAATATGTATTGGCATTATCGTAAATTAGTATATAAAATTATCGTAAATGGAGGTGGCTACAGAATAACTTATTTTGTAGCTGGCTACTGAATATACTCTCCCTATATATATATATATATATATATATATATATATATATATATATAATGACATTAATTTCATATGTCTAATTATGTTAAATTTCAATTGATATGACCAGTGATACATAATATGTATTATTAAAATATTTAAAAACAATAACTAATATCATTAATTTTAATATTAATAAGGATTAACCTTTATATAACTAATGATAAACATATTGAAAATCTAACAAGAACCGAAGTATACCTAGAGGCGAGACCAATGTTGGGAACATTAGCGGCACCTTTCTCACTAGTTGACATAGTGAGTTGCTTGAAACCGTGGACCTTAGTCGGTGTAGGTAATTGTCCGCTGTGCAGTCCCATGAAAGACAACCAAAAAGAAGACGAAGTAGTATTAGCGTCACGAAGAAGACGAACAGGAGCATTTGCATGATCTCGTAAACCTGATGCGCCCACATACTCATAGACGGGCAACAGTTTTAGAGGCTTGCTCTTCCAACCTTTTACGTGCATAAGCTAGAACGGGGAACACTCGAGAGCAACAAAAACAGAGAAGAAAAGGTGCGGTGGTTCCACGCAAGGCTTCAGATGTCTGTGCCCTTATATGCACCAGTTGGAGAGAAGACGGAGAGACGGGAAAATGCACCTAGATGTTTTGGTGTTGCTAGGATGGAGTAATCGTTGAGTAAGGGATGGCAACTCCTGTTGTGCTTTCTCTCCAAATAGCTACCCATTTGATGACTTTATCAAACGGCCCAAGTGGCAAAAACCAGCCCACCCTACACCATGTCATGCCACGCTGGGATCGCTTACTAGGTCTACCCCAGACCACATCATGTCATGGAGCGACAGGCTCGGTTGGGACTGAGTAATCACATGCCAATAGGGGAGAAAATAGAGAGACAGGACTATGCACCTAGACACTATGTTATTAATGGGATGAAGTATCCATGGAGCAACAGACGGTAACTTCCACTGCGATTTCTCTCCTGATAACTGCCGATTTGATGACTCCATCAAATAGGCGAAGTGGTCAAAACCAGCCACCCTATACCACGTCATGTCATGGTACGCGCGGGCTTAGTTACTAGGACCGAGTAATCATAGAGAAATGGACAATAACTCCCGCTGTGATTTCTCTCCCGGTAACTACCAAGTCGATGATTCTATCATGCTCGTGCCACGCCACGGCTCGGCTTGACGCGCGCGCTCGTTGCACACCCTTCGTCCCTCAACTTTATGGGCATGTTCGCTTGAACTTATCAGCTGGCTTATCAGCTACAACAAAACAGTTTCAGCCGACTTATCAGCCGACTTTAATACCAGCCGAACAAGGCCGTAGGTGCACACACACAAGTCATTTATTTGAGTTAATCAACATTTAGTCAATGTTTTATACGAGACTAAAACATTAATGCATCTAGCATTTAATATGAGCTTTAAGATTAATTTGAAAATGGGCTAAGCCTAAATTTCAACACAATGTATGTTAATAATCGTCCAGATTTTTTTTTTTACTACACGAGAATGCCCCTGTACTGACGAATCAGACCATGAGCTGAGAAACCGTGTTTATTTGACCCTGATCCGGAGCTATCTGCACGCTGGGCCCAAGCGACGCGCTAAACATGCACGCCGCCTCCGCTTCCGCCTCGCGAACCGGGCTGTCTTAATCCGGCCACCCACTAATCTGAACCAGGATTGGTCCTCCGGGGCGACCCCTAATCCCCGCAGACTTCCACGGACGCCGACGGCCGACCACGGTTTGCTCTGCCGGTGCCGCGACGACACGTCCCAGTCCCAGTCCCAGTCCCAGTCCCTGCATGCCACTCGATTCGAGTGGACAAAAATAATGACATAAAAGCCCTTGCTTCCCGTCTCTTCTTCTTTGCTTTCCAAAGAAAAAACACCGCCATATTTGATTGCCGTGTCACCCTGCTTCTCGCTAGATCCAATAGTAGTAACACTAGCTCCTTTTTCTAATGTTTGAGCAAATTAAGCTTGGATGGGGATTGCGCATGCTAGTAAGCTTCACATATATAGTAGGGCTTTCATTCCTTCGTTGTGTTGTTCTTGTTGCCAACTTTATCTTAATAGGTAAGATTATGCGTGAGGATCAGGGATTTGTGTGTTTGGTGCGAAATGAGATGGGTTAAAGTGTGATACGCAATGCTCTTGCGTATTCGAGAAAAAAAAAAGAGATGGGTTAAAGTGAAGCGCCACTAAAGCTACTTGCGATGGACGGTGGCGAACCTACTCGATCGGTTGCTCAGGACATGAAAGAAGGGTAAAGCGTGAGGTGGGCAATGCCCGGTTTGGAAACTCGATTGGTTGAAGCTTGAAGGCAAGGGAGAATGTAACCAAGTCAAGATAATCTCCTCCCACTTCATTGGGGTGATTGTTTGCAAGCAGGTCATGTTGTGGGTGACTTTCTTTTGGTGAGGATTAGGTAAAATAGAGAGGTCCCTACTCACATGAGGAAAGGAATTTTCACCATCCTCGACCCTTGTCCTTGCAGGGAGTATAAATCTCAATGGGGATCCTTATCCTGCTTAACTACTAGCTAGCATGTGTGTAATATGCATAGGACCTTACTATTTCTCCGTAGGTTTAAAAATATATGTATATTAATTATGTAACATAGTATCCCTTTTTTTGACATATTGGATATCACTATGATGCCATGTCCTTTGATTTGTAATGCTATTTTGTAGTGGCGATGTCTATTCTTCATACTAGTTTAGGGCCTGTTTAATTCAGTTATGGTTAATTAGTTATTAGTTGGGGCTAAAAATTAATTTACATTAGTTAGAGGTTGGCTAATAACTAGTTAGATATTTAGCTATTAGCTAAAAGATTACTCAACCTATTAACCCTCTGTTTGGATGGGTATTTTAGCTCATTTTAGGCCCTTACTTTGCCCATATACAAAATGTGTAGTTACATATGATGTAGGGGTGAGCGTGTGTTGCAATTGAGTTGTACTCCCTCTGTCCGAAAAAAGATGCCCTACTATAGAAGTGACATTTATTGTCGGCTCGTCACTGTCGGTTATCTTGGAATCGATAGTGATAGAGTATCACTACCGGTTCGTGGCTTTAACCGGCAGTGGTAGG